ATTAAAGATCCTTACCACTGCTTTAAAAAAATCAAGTAAATGGTGTTATAGTAGTAATTCTATGATTCTGGAATTGTACACATTGCACGAATGTGGTATAAAGCAAATGAAAGCATGTTTTATTGTGACTTTGAAATAGAAATTTAAAAACTGACATATTGGGACAAAATTTTGAAACTATATCCTGATGACTGAGTTGCTGCATTCCAACATTTTGTGGATATAACTCTGTTTGAGAGCACAGATTAGCTTCTATCCCTCTGCTGAAAATGGAGGAGTCCCTGATATCAGACACCAGTACAGTATGTTAGGAACTCCCCAAGACTGTATACAGTGAAGTAAACAGTTACCGTTGCCATCAGGGGACCAGAGAAACCCCCTTCCATAAAAGTAGTTTGACCCAGTGCTATTTTTGATATTTGCCCATTTGGGCTACAACTGGGATTTCTGACTTTAATAGGCAGAAAGATGTTATTTACTCAAATATTAGATAGGTTTAAGAGCCATAATGTGTTTCACTAAATTTGCATTATATGTCCCTTAACACTGGTTGGAGATACTTTAATAATACTACTTTTGACTTCTAACTTTATAGAGTGCCTCTGTGGATCCAAGCATTTTTAGTTATAGGATTAAAAATCAAGTAAAGGCCTAGAAAAACCTCTTGCTTTACTGAATCCTGCCAATTAATGTAGTCTTCAATTTACTTTGCAAGAGCTTTAATCTTGCGATGAAATATAACCATTCATAGAGCTAGCAAAGATTTATTAACAGTGTTGTACATGAACAGCTTAGCATTGGGGTGTGTTAAAAAAGGACATAGGGTAGAGCTCCTTGACATGAGGGTTTATTGTCTGGTGCATTTACATAGTTATATGTATCTAAAATCCTCTCTGAATGAAACAGTAGAAAGGACACAATTCTCTAGATTGATTTTGTGACTGTTTTAATTTCTTAAATATTTTTTAAGCAATAAAATCACTGATTTATTTAACCAAAAAAATCAACATTACAACTTTGTGGACTTTTAAAGTTCTGAGAACTTCAAGTTGTGCACCTTTAAGTTACTAGTGAGATATTTTATGAAATACAATATTGGAATTTACTTAGGATTTTTGAAATGTTGAAAATTGCTCACAGTCATTGAGACCACTTCAAGATGAATAATTAAATGCTAAGCTGATGGTAGAAAGTTCCCTCAAAAATGTGTGAGGAGGCACAAGCAACTAATGACAAAATTAGGGAAGGTTCAGTATGGGCATTGAAAGGTAATACAGTTTAAAACAGAGAATGTGTGTGTGTGTGTGTGCGTGTGTGTGCATGTGTCTGCATGCATGTTTGTGTCTGAATATCTACATGTTTATGCATAATCTCCATCCCTGGAGAGGTAGTCAAAGGTAATTCAGCCTAATTTTCTTCTCATGGACATTATATTTTACTCTTTTATGTAAATATTTATAGACTAATGGAAACTATAATCTCAGGAATTAATTTAGGATGGAGCTATAGCCCAGTTTGCAAAAACTTGAGATACATGGATGAATGATAAATCCATAATGAGTTATTAGATACAATCAGTACATTAGGAGAAGAGGCACGTGTTCTTAACCTCTGAAGTGATGTTATTTTGTGTAATCTTGCATTTCTCAAAACTCACTGTGGTATATTCAGAATACCCAGATTGTCTTCATTTATTCAACATAGACTAGCCAGTTAACTGATTACTATTACCCTTGAATCCAATGGTCCCCATTCTTACCACTTACCAACTGCCTGATAATATTAATTACTGAGTGTGTTCATTAATTACTGTGATTGTTCATTTTTTATGTGAATTCAGTGATGCCACAATTGGGAATTTGGCCTCAACACTTACACAGTAATTACACATGTTATTGGCATAGCATATAGTGAATTGCAATGCAGATGGTGGGGACTACACAGAAAGCAGTAGCGTGTACCTTTAGAGCAATACTCACACTATTCATAGTTAGGAGGAGTATCTAGGCAGAGGTCAGTTCTGTTGTGATTACAGAATTTTTCTCTGCACTCTCCTCTGAGAATGACACATGCAAGATAATTTTATCATTATTATAGAGTGCTATTTTTAAGCAATAACAACCTTCACATGGACTCATTTTACATATGTATACACAGTACTAAGCACGTTAATACCAAGAATGTAAAACTGATACCTCGAACCTAAAATCCTTAGTTCAGCAGTAATGTTGATCAGGTAAATGATATTGTAAAAAAAGTACCACAGGTTACACTTTAGTTTTATAGTTTTAAATTTTAAAAAATTTCCCAGGTATAGATTATAAGATTATAAACTCTTGAATTTCATATGAAGAATTTGAATTTTTGAACCCCATTTTCTGTTAGAACTAAGTTAGTGTAGTTTTATCATTGTTTGACATAAATACATTCACGTTATTTTGTATAATGGTATAGCCTTCAAAGACTGCTTAGCATTTCTTAATTTTTATCATTTATGTCAGTTTAGATGAATTTAGATGCAGGAGTATTGCAGGAGTATTTTTTCATGCAGGAGTATTGCTACATAGTTTATTGCCAACTTTTGGAGAACGTAATTTTGGTACAAGTATATTTTTTCAATGATGAGACCAGAAGCTTAAAGTAAAGGTATTATATGAAAGGGAACTTTGCTCTTAAGCTATTCAGTCTATTTCATAAATACTTTTAGCATAACTGATTTTAACTAGTTTAATATCAGACGCATCCTGTTCAAAACCATTAATTTTGGAAGTCATTTGCACTGCTGCTTTCCTTTCTGTTTTCTGGCATATATCATATTTTCTGCCAATGGTTTTTTTTTGTTGTTTTTTTATTGTTTTGAAGAATGGACTTTCAGTTTCATTCATTGCTACCTATTTACAGTATATGTTTCAGAAGGCTACATTTCCTTTATAAGAACACTTGGAACAAAAAAACTCAGCTCTCTTTTTATATATGATTTACTAATTAAAGCTCTACCCACTGCCGTAAGATACCTCGATAAGCCTCTTAATTTGTAAAATAAGGAGATTGATTTTACAAATCACAAGTGAAAATTGGTCCCATTGCTTAAATCATTGATATAAATAACCTGAAACATTATGGTACACTTATAAGATGAAACTACAGAGTACTTTATTAATAATGTTTAATAATAAATTTATATTACATCCTAACTAAAATAATAAAGCCTTTCATATGAACTCTGCTTTATAATCTTCAAGTTGCTTTCGTATCCAGTATATAATTTTGCCTTATAGCTATTTTTGGGAGAAGAACATAGGGCATGATCCACATTTTACAGGAAAGAAGTCAAGAATAACATATATAAGTGACTGTAGACCACGAAGTCATTGAAAGAGCCATTGTTATTGCCCAGAACTACTGATGTTTTAATTAGACATTTTTTCTATCATCTAGATTCTAAAAAGATTTACATTCTTATCACCACTAGCCACCACCATGAAATCAAACAAACGTTACTTCATTGTCACATGTATACTTTTGTTTAAAAAAGTCTTTTAGAATTCAAGACTCTGTATTAGATAAACATAAACCTCGAATAGATGCTATGATTATCAGCTGTTTACATTTGCTTCTGTCAATCCTTCAGAGGCTTTCCCTTCTCTGAATCTTTTGCTATTCATATTAGTGGTAAAATGTCTATGGAGAAAAAAAAAATCAGTGTAATGTGGTAGCTAAAAGCTAGGCCTCTGGAATTAGACTTTCCCGATTCAGATCTTATTAGCTGTGTATGCTTAGTCATTTACTTAAACCATTTGAGCCTCAGTTTCCTCCTGTCTAAAATGAGGATAACGATGGGATATGTGTCTCACAAGGCTGCAAAGATTAAATGAGTTATAGTTCCAAAATAGTACCTCACATATCACAGGTCAATAAGTATTGTCAATGTTGTTATAATAATTATTAAAATATGCGAACAATAGCTATCTTTATCATTTCCACCTATCCTCAGAGAAAAGGAAGGAAATGGAATACTTGTTCTCTTTTTTTCTCCCATTGGTAGGCCAAGCCCTTAGAATACAAGTATGTCTATAATTTAAGAAGTGATCTAAGGTCTTCAAATGACCTTCAGTAATTGCTTGTATTAAATTCTCCCCAAACCACTGAAACTGCTTACTTTCTGAACTGTCGTGAGTGGAGATGGGAAACAATTTTCAATTTTCCTCACACTGAACCTCGTGTACCTGAAATACTCTGCTCTTATTTATCCATTTCTCTTTCAAATTGGAAACCCACACATCTTAACCTCTCAACAGAAAATCACTTTTGGTACAAACTACTGAATTATATCCAGTTTCTCCAGTCTTCTTAAACCTCTCATATCTAATGGGCCGCAATCCCACAACCAGATTGCCCAAAAGTGGGCAACAGGCAAGTTGCAGAACCATGCCACACTCAGTTACAGGGTCTGTGTGCTATAGATACAGGTATCCATTCCACTCTCATAGAATTTTTGCCAGCTTCCTGGGCACTGTCCATCACATGCAAGCAGGCCTGGAGGGCTCTGTAAACCAACTGGGGAAAAAA